TTTATAAAATTGATTCTTCATTTTTCGATAAACTTTATGAAATTGAAAAACAGATTCATAATTGTAAGAACGACACTCAGAAAAAATTAATACCTATCGATGCTACAGCATCACTACTGGACAAATCTAATCACCTAACATATGCTAAAAAATATAGGTACCTAAGTACGTTCATAGTTGAACATAAAATCTCAATAAATAATTATCTTCAAATCAGAACAAACACTTCCTTCAAAACAGTAGATAAAAAGAACACCCTTGTTCAGTAGCCGGAGCAATTCACGCACACACCTAAACGTCATGTTATGCATGTGTGCGTGCGTCTTGCAAACATTTTGCGGTTTGCCTATAATATTTGAATTTTATTGTGAAAGTATCTTTATAAGTACAAATGTTTTGTAAAATCTAACATCTTTCGTAAATTTGCTGTAAGTTTGAATTAAAACTAGGATAAAATAATAAAGTAATAAAATAGAAAAAAAATCATGAAAAATGGATAGTAGGAAAAAATTTTAGGTTGTTTTTGTTTGTCTTCGATTTATTCAAAAACTAAAGGATGGATTAGTACACGTTTTTTTTTAAATATAAAAAAAATGTATAAAGAATTGATAACTTACCCATTTTTTAACTTCTTTGTAGGATTTCACAAACAAAACACACTGAAAAGTACTCGTACGTCAACAGCACAGGAGAGGAGGAGCACGAATATTTTTAAATGGTGGTCACATGAATGAGTATTGTTCTTGTAGACTGTAAATCTTTGAATGAATAGGTTGGTTCTTTCTCATTCATTTGACATACGACACAAACCATTCTGATATTATTTGTTTCAATTATAAGGTCTAAACTAGTACAACTAGTCTTGTCGTACTGGTGCGGTAGCCGGCGTTGAGAGAGATATTTTTTTGTCGGACTGGTTCGACAGCCGCACTTAAAAGGTTAAACTTCACTAATCTTACTTTGGAACCCGCTGTATACGCTCTTGTACGTACACAGCGGAAGGTCGACTTTAGACGTAAAACTTGAGTAATAAGTAGCCACTTAGAGAATTTTTATTTATTGATTTTGTTTGATAAAACATAATGAAACGCATATAAATAGAATGCTCATTTATTGAAGTTTTTTTAACTGTAAATAAAAAGGCATTGTATGGTAATTTCAGAAAAAACTGTGCACAAAACAATGCTCATAACTTTTTGCGTGAGTTTGATATCTGATCTTGAAAACTTGGTAATTACTGTTATATTATTGGCTAATACGATACAGTTTGGTCGTGCTATTCAATATATGTAAATTACTGATATTTCAAACGAAAATTTGCTAAGTTATACCTTATAATTATGACACAGTATAATTTCGAAAAACCGGGATCAACCCGCGCGAATTGCTTCCGTGGTGAAATTTTAGCGCTTTTTCAAACTCCAAAAAGTTGTAGTTTTATATTTACAATATTTATAAAAATTACCAATTTGTTTAGGGATTTTATGTTTAATCTTATAAAAATATGTTTTTTTGGTAAAATTAACATTTGGTAGCTAATATATTCCATCTTTACTACAAAGTAGTTAATTTTTCAATTCTTCTAAGAACAAGCTCATGTTTCCGCTCCAAATATAAACAAAACGTGTTTATTTTGTGTTAGTCAGCTAGTTCATTTCATTATCTTTCTGATAATATAAGCATTGCCGAGCTTTGTTAAGTCTAAGTCGTAAAAAATACGATAAGATCGAGTCAAGTGTCCAATGGCGCGCTCAAATCTTAAGTGCGCCGGCCTCTACGGTATCGTATGCGCGAGGCCGCGCGGGCCCTCATAGGTTAAGTGTCAAAAGAATGCGAAGGCATGCCGTTTATACGTTATCAGTTACAATACGAACACTGCTTAATAGATGGATATCGTTGCAACAGGTTTGATTGATAATTTAATAAAACAAGATATAATGAAGTGCATTCTCATATTTAAACATTTTATTGGAAAATAAATGTATAACTAAACTGTCCTTTTAGCTACCACCTGAAGCAGTTGTATGTCGAGAATGTTGCTTCCGGTTAAATGAGCATTGTCGCAATAGAAATATGGCAGCTGCAAGAGAACTGGGCCATACACATGCGGACGAGCTGTTAGGGAGGGTAGAAGACATGTCAGACATCAAATTATTGAAACCAGTGACCCTATTATAGCTATTATATGCTCCTGGAATGCATTTAATGAGGTAAACAAGCTACACAATTTGTTATATTTTACACTTACCTGTTATTACCGTATTTAATACTAAACAATAGACAAAAACAAACTGCAGTACTAAGTTTATCTATTTACATTATCTAACAGCCTTTTTTCTTATAGGGGATATCAAGATCAAGAACATCATTTGTTTGCCGGCTTTGTTGGATGCGTGCTAGTCGGCAGATATTGAAAGATCAAAATAGAGACATTGATTGTCCAGGTGATATTAAACAATAAGTGGTCACCCTAGAGCAGCCAGTTCTCACAGTTCCTTCAAATCTGTCTCCAGTCCGTCAAGAACAGGTTTTTATTGCTCCAGCAGGGACTATCATTTTGCCACACTATAAATGTGTGGCCAATACTTCACGACATGGTATTTTTCAGAATTGTGCTAACCAAAGTGGTTATTTAATACTCTAGCTTCTTAAGCAATATCATATTTATCTAACAATATACTCCTGTGTCTGTGAGTCATATTTATATAGTAATGAATGGGAAGTGTTAAATCATAATAACAATGTCACAAATAGATTCAGATTTCATGGACTTTGAAAATGTGCATAAATTGTCTTATCACATTTGTCACTATTGGACTGGTCTTATTGTAATTGAATTTTTAGATTTACTTAATGAAATACCTGACTTAGAAAGTTTAAATTATAGAAAAACTTGTTTAGCAATATATTTGACAAAACTAAGAACTGGTGATAATTATATTAAATTAAACTTTATAATATGCTTGTGTATAATGTATGTGTAAAATGTCTTATGTGTGAATATTTATATTTCATATGTGTACTTATTACAATTATTTACACTACCAAGAGAACGTTTTGTATGTTTGCCCGTAATAAATAAACTCGGAAACCGTCATACTTAGAAAATAGCTATTTATTAAAGTTATGAAAGCACCTAATTAATAATAATAGACCCTTGGCATTGTTGTTTTTTTTCTATTCGCCAGAAATTAAACTTATACGTTATATAAAGGACTATAATAGAAGTTTGAAGAAGGATAAACAAGGTCTCTAAACCATAAGCTAGCCGAATTATAATGGGTTAATGTTATTGCTATTTTTTTTGTTTGTAAATGTGATAATTTAGGACTAATCTAAAAAAATGGAAATTACAGCCACTAATTTATTTTTCTCACCTACTCCTACCTACCTACTTACTCGTAAGTATACCAACCTACTATACGACACTAAAAATCACCACGCTCTACAAAACAACAAAGCAAGCAGGCGGGCGGGCGGGCGGTGGGACGGGAGGGCCGCTACAAAATCACCATGCTCTACAAAGCAAGAGGGCGGGCGGGCGGTGTTACGGGAGGGGAGCGGCGGCGACGTCATTGGCGTGCGCAGGCGCTGACGCGGTCGATGAGATCTTTCTTCTCCCTCCTCGCCTCATTCGACTTTGCTAGCTCGCGCGTCGTATGTTATTTTTGTTATTTCGATTTAGTTACTACTGACTTGGCTTTTACTGGACTCCGTTTTTTACTTAAAGTGTGACCTGGCTGTGTTTAATGGACGAATTATTTGTGGCTCGTGGACAATCCGTTAATTGTTTTGTACAAGCGTGCCATCATTTATGGCCGGAAGGCAAGTTCGCAACAGACCTTGTATCCTTTGCCTGAGAAGCACTAATCCAATTGGCGGAAGAAACACAAGAAGGTCGTTTTTACTTACACCTGCTTTTGTCGACGAGAACAGTTTTGTATTAGAGTTTATTGAACACACGGATAATTCCATAGAGGTAAGTACTTGACACGGTATTTTACTTATTAGGTTTAATAAGGTTCTTATTCTTTTTATTCTAGTATATATTTACACATTTTATGTGTATGTACAATTATTAAATTCATACACATACTTATATGTATAGGTACTTTGGCTCAGCTTTCCATTAGTTGTGGTTGAGTACCGAGCTGAGATTTTTGTCACGGAAAGTATTAATTATTAGAAACACGTACACGAAATCTTTTTATACGGAAACGAATAGAACTCGAGAAAAAAAATATTGAAAATTAATATTTTTGTAGGTTAGTCAATTGTGACAGCCATTTTGATCAGTGCTGCCATTTTTTCATTCAGAAATAACATGTTTCTCGTTGTCTGTGGTAAAAAATATGTTTATTATGTTGGTACTATTGTCAAAATGACATGTCCCGCCGTTTGTTGTTTGTTTTAAGAAATGTCAGTCAGTCTGTTCGTCGCAGTGGCGTAGCATAGGTCACTAGCACCCGGTGCGGATTCCAAATTTGCCGCCCTCTTATTTTTGCAATCCATTATAAAAAAATTGAGGCATGGTAAAAAGAGTACTTTTATTGAATAACACTAACCTAAGAGTGAAATTAACATTTTTTGACATAGAGTCAGTAGTCAGGTAGACTCTCACAATATCACTTAGAAAAATTACAGAGAAAACGTAATACAATAATGGAGAAATCGCCTACTTCACGAACGCTCAACTCCTCAACTGAAAGATTAAAATTTAACTTTTCTAGTCTTCCTTTCAGCAAAGTGTTTGATCACAGTTTCAATATCGATTGCATCAGTCAGGTCTTGTTCAATCGACAATATAGCTAGATTAGTTAATCTCAGCGTACTCATTGTAGATCGCAAGTAATTCTTTATCAATTTCAGTTTCGAAAAGCTCCTTTCACAACTAGCATTACTTATAGCAGTTGTCAAAAATATTCTGAGCATTATGAAAATGTTAGGCACGGAGATTTCGAGCTTAGATTCGACAATGAACTTCAATAATTCAAGTGGACCTACATTAGCTTTTTTCCAGTAACATCCAGTAGTTTTGCTGGTGTAAGAAAGGAAAATTTCTCTGCCAAATTATCGAGCTGCTGAAATCTCGATCGAATCTCAGAAATAACTCTATCCAAAGAGGAAAACAGTGTTCTTCTCAACTCATTTTCGTAGGTCAAACCAGCATCTGTACTTCCGTCACCGAATGTTTGTTTCTTCAATCTACGTCGACGAGGTTCCATGGATAAACCCAGTTCATCACACAATCCTTTTGAGTAAATCAAGGCTCCGTCTACCAGCTCGTTTCGCTTTTGAACTAGTAACGTTTGTAGTGCACTTATTTTTTGAGCACACTGTTGCACGTTGAGTCCCTTTGTTTGCAAATAATTTTGAGCATCATTAATTTCAAGAAGTACTAGTTCCCAAAAGCCCAAAAAACAAAGGAACGAAAATGATTCCAACGCAACGAGCAAAGTTCCTGCATCTGCCCTGGTGTTTGAACTTTCTTCTGGCGCTGTTAGTTTTTCTAGAGCGGTGAGAATTTCTTTGTAATGTTTATGCATCATTATTACTGCATCACCTCTCGCGCTCCATCGGGTATCTTGAATCCTTTTCAAGCTTTTACCGGTAGCAGCAAGCAGAACTTCCCAGCGGTGAGTTGACATGGAAAAAAATGCATAACAGCGTTCTAACGTGCCAAAAAACGTTACCGATTTTGCTTCAACTGAGGCAGCGTGTAGACAAACGAGATTCAATGAATGGTTCGAACAAGGTACGAATTCAGCTTTTAGATTTATATCCTTGATCCTTTCTTGAACTCCAGTATGCTTACCGGCCATGACAGCAGCATTATCGTACGCTTGACCTCGGCAATCCATTATGTCCAAGCCATCACTGTTGAGTTTCTTCAAAATCATTTCTGCAATATCTCCAGCAGTCTTGCTTTTCGTTTCAATGAAATCTATAAATGATTCCACTACTCGCACTTCCTGATTTTCAATAACTACGTAGCGTAAAACTTGACTAGTTTGGTCCCTGTGAGAAATGTCAGGAGTGCTGTCAAATATAATGGAATAATACTTGGCTTTTTTAATTTGACGATAAATTTGCTGACGGACGTGATCGCCTAAAATTACGATGAATTCGTTTTGGGTTTCCGATGACATATATGTAACTGAAATTTTCTGTCCCATATTGATGCTCACAAGGTGTTCCCGTAAAACAGGATCGTACTTTTCAAGAAGATGAACAAGTTCTAAAAAATTTCCTCTGCTTCCGCTTGTATCATCTTTTCTATGGCCACGCAGAGCTAAATTTTGTTTAGCGAGGAACCTTATAATGTCGGCCATTCTAGTGAGAGTCTCTCGCCAACGTTTAGTTTCTCTTTCGACTACTTCTTTGGCTTCCTTGTCAATAGTCAGTCCTTTCCGGATTCTCAGTTCTAGCTCCTTCCATTGGCTAAAATTTTGGCAATGTACAACACTCGATTCATGATTGCCTACTTTAGGGTTCAATTTCCACCAAGAATTAAGTCCATCTGCTGAGGAGAACTTTGAATCATTTCCATTGTGCGGAAATAAGCGACAACAGATACAAAACAGTGATGCTTTAGAAGGGGAGTAGGCCATCCAGCTACGTAAAACCTTCTCTCCGTTGGTCAACTTGCGATAAAACCACTCTCGTTTTAGTCTCCTTGTCTCTCCCTTAGCCATAGCATCAGAACGCGTTACTTCAGAAAAAACAGAATCCATGTGTTGAACGACTTCAGAGCCTTGCCGTACTAAGAGCAATCGCACGTCGCTACTCATTTCATGCGGCCATTTTCCGATGTCAGTCAAATTAGGCGTACTACGTCAAGATGCGCAGATGCACCATCACAACAAGAAATTGTAGATGCTGCTGGAATTGCGTCTTCTTCTTTTTCAACATCGCAGGCTGCAGTAACATTCATAGCGTTTTCACTAGCAACGGGGGGTACTGAGAGTGAGAGTACATTAGAGACCGAACTTACAATTGACACCGTAGCAGGTTCTTCTGGATCATTTGAAGTCTGTGAACTTCCACATACGGATTCAGGACCTTTCATAAACTTGAGTATAGCCCCTTCGTTTTTTTTGTCACTTTGTTCCTTGGCTTTCCTTTTGTTTCGGTACGCTGCAACACTTTCTTTGAGTCTTTTCATCTTTTCTGAAAAATCGGTGTTTGCTAATTACGTTTGTAATACAACAAGCAGCAAACACAAACACATAACACGTTGTATCGCAAATCGCAAGAGGTGTGATTGCTTCAAAATGCACCCCACCAAACCAATAAATCTGAGGCGTTATCGAGTTTAACGATCTCAAATATTAAACATATTGAAAAATAATAAAACACTCACCTTTTTGCTTCAGTTCAGTAGTAATCTATTTCGCACGCAGGACGTCTTCGATAGTCACTGAATCACTAATACGTTATGTTATTCCATTGTCTTCTATTACTATGTAATAAGTACAATGGACTCTTCAGCTGCCGCCCACCAAAACCAAAAGACTCGTTCCGGGTATCTAACTTTTTAAGCAGTAGTGTTTGACACGAAACACCGTTTTTTAAAAAAAATGTAAATCTTTTTACTCGCTAACTTTGTGAATATATCCTATGAAACGGTCATCGGTAATCGTTAAATCATTATTTTCTGTAAGCAAAAAATGCTGTCGATTGCCTCCAAGGTGTAATTCGTGTTACAACAATGTACGCGTAACGCGTAACTTTGCTGTTTTTCTACCAGTAGCTTTTAGCTTTAGCTACGGTGAAGTACAAAGAATGCGTAAGGAGACATATTTATTTAAAATAACATTGAAACTTGAAACGAAATAAGTTTCCTAAATAATAGTTATTGAGAAACCTTGCGCTTGCATCACCCATGCATAGAACCTGCATAGGTACCTGGGTATTTGGTAACAACAACAAAAAAATGAAAAAAAACTGAAAGAAATTAACTTTTTTTTATATTTTAATTTTTTTTCTCTATCTGCCACCTCCGCAGCGCCGCCCCCGGCAAAGTGCCGCCCGGTGCGGACCGCACCCTCCGCCCCCCCATGCTACGCCACTGGTTCGTCGGTAAAAAATATATTTGCTATTATTTACTTGGTAACATGGACTTATTAAAAAAGGCAGACAGAGTCCCGGTAAACAATAAACTGTGTTGCTTAGAGTCGGCCAGGTCGCTGTACGTACAAGCCGGCACGCACACATTCACACAATAGTCAGCCACTACGCGTGCAAACGTCAAAGCAGCCGACACGTTACGTGGAGATAAAAAATAAGCTAAACAAGACATCTTGCTTGTAAAAACCGTAGTGACCGAAAGAAAAAAAAATCCAGTAATCACGTTTCATAGGTAAATGAATAATTAAATCACTCTTTTCTAGTTTTTAGAAATCGAAATCAATTTTAATTCTAAGGACAAAATGATTAGTCTAAAGCCCAGTGTTGCCAATGTTCATGTAACCATATTACCTAAAATATGGGAAATTGGGTTGACATTAACTTCAACCTATTACTTATTATTCTTTTTTATCAGATTTCCTAAAGAAAATGTAGTACGGAGAAATTACTGGAATATGAATGATTTCCAAACAAATATGTAGTAGTGTCATTTTTAGTCTTCATTTTGAAGCTCAAGACTTATATAAAACTAAAGGAGGACTCTGGCGTGTTATTACGTATGCATTACCTCAAAAGGTTGATTAAAATTATTAACCGACTTCGAAAAGAAAGAGGTTCGCAATGCATCATATTTGTTTTTTTTTTTATTGTTGTTCGCGCAGATCTCCGAGATTCGTGGACCGTTTATGATGATTCTTTTTTTTTAATCAGTTTACTGACGAGATAGCTGCATATTAATTTACTGGAGATCTGATGAGTACTTTCGGAGGAAAACAATGGAACACCTCAATTACAAACAGTACTCAATGGGTGTTAGTTTTTTTAAGAAATATGAAAGAGAATGCAGGCCAGGCCATGTATATTTAGTTGATTTACCCAATATTGAGAAAATTCGATACATTCTAGAATTTCTAATGAGTCCCGACTGTTAAAGTAACTTTGTTCCTTATTAAACAGAATTCTAGACTACTGGACTTGTTTTTTTCTTTTTAGTACATTTTTTTTTATTTTTGACATTTTAATTTCATTATTTTTTAATTACTAGAGTTGTATATTTTCTAAATATTCTTTTAAAACCCTTCACTTTGATACCTCGCTTGACGGGTTATAAAAATACTTATACTTTTTTTCAAAATGTTTCATTTTGGCGCATAAAATCTGTTATTGGTGTCAATTCTGGCAGGAATCTCTACACTTAAAACTAAATTTAACATCAGTCTGTCCTTTTCATTCTGTATATAGAATGACAAGGATACACTGTTATCTAATTTAAGTTTAAGTTTAGAGAATCGTGCCAGAATCGACACCATTTTGATTTTTTTAAATTTTAATATATCGAGTGCCACTCACACAATCACGACAAATCAAATGACACCTCGCATGTCAAAATCCGTCAAGACGTTCAGGCTGTAGGGCGTGCCAAATTATTGGACATACATACCTACATGCATACATACGCTCGAAAAACATTATCCTCCGCAGTCGGGCAAAAAGTAAAATTTTGAACAATCAAAATATTTTCATGTTTTTACTGTGTTTTATTGGTAAAAAATTGGCTAACCTAGCAACCCTACAATTCACTCACTCATCAATAGCCGCCGCCATTACGGTGCCTCAGTATTGTCTTAGCCGAAACTCTGTCCGCCTTTTTTTATACGTGCATGCTTGGTAAATAAGAAATAGTATGGGCTCCACACTTAGAAAAAAAGGTAAATGTGGCTTTACAACTTCTAAATCTTTAAATCAGAACCGACTTGGTCAACCCTGACACGCCGTGGTCTTGGTCTGCCCTACCCCTAGAGTGTTTTGTAGAGCCCGGAGGCGCGTAGGGAGAGCAGCTCCCGCCTGCTGTGGGGCAAAGGCGGTGGGGCTGCTATTCCCGCAGCGCCGGAGATAAGGCAGAACTACTGGTTCTTCCTTCCCTAGTCCTTGCATCCTCATAATTTATGAATTTTTAGGTTAGGTTAATTTAAAAAAAAATATGCATTTCCGTCTAAAATCTTTAGTAGGGGGGGAGTCGGGGCGACCCCCTCCTCCCCCCACATCAAAACTACCCCGAAATTCCACCAAAGCTAATGGAATTTAGTACCCAATATTCGATAAATAAATTGTAAACTAAAATATCATGTTTCCTTACAACCCCAAACCCGCTTCTGCAGCCTTTTGAACCTAACCAACTGTACCTATCGTTTTCGCCCGAACTCTATTTTGTTTAATTCGAGTTTTCAAGTGTGATGCCAGTTCACAATTTGATGGTTAGATTATGAACTATCGAAAATCAATTACGTGAGTTCTCAATTTATGACAGTTTACATTTTCGTTAGACGATTCTTGTTTGATTATAACAATCTGAAGCCCTCTCCTAATTACACAATTTGGTCGGGTCCAACTTAGGGACAGTGCTATACACGTAAAAGAGATGGAGATACATATGGAGATACAGGATGTATCTCCATCTCTTACGTGTATAACGCTGTCCCTAGTTGGCTCGACCAAATAGGGAAGATGCAATATTTTTATTTTTGTTTTCATTTTAAAGAATTCCATGTAGATTAAACCACAGATATATTAAAAAATTAAAACATTGTGATTTATCGGAAAAAATGCGGTTTTAAATTGACAATTTAAATTTTCGCGCGAAAACGAACCTATGGATGCGATGACGTCACTCCTGTCTGTCACTGGTCGTAATTGTTCGTTGCTGGCTTTGTATTTTCATACTTTTGCATATATTTTCGACTTTCGAAATATTTTTTTGAAAAATTCAAAATGTACTATCCATCAACATCATGTGATCATAACAATACCACTAATATTCCGTAAAAAAGCCGTGTTGACTCATGTTTTGGGCCAATCTACTTCAACAAAGTTCCCAAATAAATTGTTTTTGACTGGAACTTCTGACCCAAAACTGAAAAAAAGTGGTTTCAAGCTGCGAAGAGAAATGAAAATTATTCTCCAAAGACCATTATTCGATGCTGAGAAGACGCAAAGTTGCCAGGCTTTCGGTGTTCTATCGGTTGCATTTCGGTGAGTGCGCAGAGGAATTACATGAGCTAATTCCTCCCGCCCCTTTCTACTACCGGACGAGCAGGGAAACGGCAAGGCGACATCGATTCACGGTGGCAGTTCCAAAGACTCGCAATAAGCGATTCGCGTCTAGCTTCATCGTGCGGACTGCCTAACTGTGGAATTCCTTGCCTGAGCCCTTGTTCCCCGAGCACTACAATCTAGCGGTCTTCAAAGCAAGAGTGAACCGGATTTTATTAGGTAAGCGCGCTCCATCGTAGACCATAATATTGCTTTCCATCAGGCGAATTATGGTCAAGCGCTTACCTATTAACGAATAAAAAAAAATAAAAAAAATCACTTTGACGTAAGTCGGCGAATATGCTTGTTATATGCTTAATTAATCTGCTTGTACGTAAAAACGCATTAGTAACCTATCTAATACTTACAAAACCTGTCTATAACATTTTACAGTTGGAGAATGACGTCGAAAATTAGATATAGTGTGGCACAATCTTCACATTTGCAGGACTGAACCAAGCTTTGCGTTTCATTTAAAATAACTGTAACACGATAACCTTCTTTACGTACTTTATGCTCCGGAGAACTCGACCTTTTACTGTACATAATTTTCCATCTCTTTTAATTTGGA